TTCGAAACCAGGGCATTAATTCTGTAAGTAACTAAAAGTAAAAAAGTAACTAGTTAAAAATTTTGAATAAAGTTACTTTAAGATGTTTGAATAACATTTATTCAAGTAATATAATTGATCCGCTTTTACAATATAATATAATCGGTTATTACAATTATTTTTTATTATTATTATGTTTTGAACAATAAATTATTGAAATAACTTATCGAAGTAACTTTATTCATAACTTTTAAACTATTAAATTTTTCCCACCACTGCTTCAAACTTTTGTCGACTCAGTATCTCCTTCGAATACTTACAAATTCTACGTATAATTTATCAAATCAACGATCAAATTCTGAATCGACGATACGGAAGATTCATTCTGTTCATGATTCGAATAATTGCTAACAAGACTCACAAATTCGAAAGCCATCGTTTGATAATAGAAATAATATAATTTTTGTCGATAATAACGTGTTGCAAAACGTTCGTCATTACCTTATTTATACATAAAAATATCTTTAAAAATAAATAAGATATCACGCGTTTATGTTAAAAAAAAAACGCAATGTGCGGAAAGTAATTAATGCAACGCGCGATAATGAAAGTATCAACATAAAGACAATCTTCGTATAACGCGAGTCTTTCTCCATCGCGAGTTGTTTTTTCGATTTGAATCGATTCTTTCGTTCAATTACGAATTTCGATACGGAACGAATTAACCATTACAGGAACAATCGAGATATATATTTGTCAGGACGATCAAAAGTTTCTTCTTTATTTCGAGAGTCTTTACAATCCTGGGGATCCAGGATGAATTTCAAAGTAAAAAGTTGGACAGTTGACGAAGGGAGGGAGGGAGGGAGGGAGGGGCGAAATATCGTTTACTATTAATCTGCCAATTTATTTCGCCGAGACGTTTTAACGCGAAACTGGAAACACGCAGGTGCCTCGTTACTTCCCGCTTTCCCCCTCTAAAGAACGTCGCAGCCTAATTACTCCGGAGACCCCTTCGTTAAACAGCGATAAACATCTCGGCGATTAATAAGGAAATACTGTTTTCTTGCTGCTTGTGCCGATCCACGTTGCATCGATTCCGTACGAAAACGACAAAAATGTGCGGCAGAAGGTGCGACATAAAACGGAAGAGAGAGACAGGGAGAGAAAGGAGAGGGGGAGAAGGAGAGAGAGAGAGAGAAAAAGAGAGAGAGAGAGAGGACTACTTGGCCTGGCGTTAATTGCGGTCTTTCGTAAATTAATTTTCCATTCGTTACCTATCGTTATTATACTCACAAGTTCGTTTAAAAATATGAGGTTCGCGTACACGTGAAATTTCTACTTCTTCCAAATTGATAATTTTTTTTTTTTTTATATATATATATATTTTATATACATTCGCGTGTCTCGATATTAGATACTCGATATTATATATAAAACTTTCTTCCTTTCGAGTCGTCGCAAATTACGTTTCGATCAATCGTAAATTCTGGGCTTAACGATTTTTATTTAAATTTGCAGGAATTAACGTATCGTGGTGGGGCATAATTAAAAATTCATTTTGATTTTACCGTTTCAATTTCAACATTTTTTTTTTTTTTTTTTTTTTT